TTGAAGGTGCTCTAATAACCTGATGCCTCAAAAGTTCAAAATGAAAACTCTGCAAATTAGGAAAGTCAAACATGGTAAAAATGAAAGGTTCTAGTTTTCGGCAATTATCTCAGCGCTCGTCGAAACAGTCACAACGGAAACATAGCTGCTGGAAAGAGGAAGACGTTGCATAGAACACATTTTGAAATGCCTGTCTGTTTTTATTCTGAATGATTTGAGGATAGGTCTAAAAAACGGCACGAACTTTCGGACCCACCTAATATTTCATCATCACCGTAAACAGAATAGGTGATCGAATGAACGAGATTTCTTTGACTTTTTTCATATCATATGTCTCAAACAAATTATTCTCGAATAAAAGCAATCATTCAAAGCATTACTTGGCAAATATGGTACGTTTCAAGAAAATCAACGTTCTTTTCGCACAATATGAACGTACACAGGTGTAGTTAAGAGCAGAGACTACAAGATCAAGGAAGCAATCAGTACTTGAAGAGCTATTATAAAGGTCAGTAAAGTACTAGCACTGGCTGGTTTCTCGGTTGTGGTAGCAGTTGTAAGTGAAGTACTCGCGCTGACTGTTTTCTTGGTTGTGGCAGCACGTGGGAGTGAAGTACTCGCGCTGGCTGTTTCGGTTGTGGTAGTAGCTGGAAATGAAGTACTCTCGCTGGCTGGTTTCTCATTTGTGATAGCAGCTGGAAGTGAAGTACTCGCGTTGGCTGTTTCCTCGATTGTGGCAGTACTTGGAAGTGAAGTACTCGCGTTGGCTGTTTTCTCGGTTGTGGCAGCACTTGGAAGTGAAGCACTCCCGCTGGCTGGTTTCTCGGTTGAGGCAGTACTTGGAAGTGAAGTACTCGCGCTGGCTGTTTTCTCGGTTGTGGTAGTAGCTGGAAATGAAGTACTCTCGCTGGCTGGTTTCTCATTTGTGATAGCAGCTGGAAGTGAAGTACTCGCGTTGGCTCTCGCGTTGGCTGTTTCCTCGATTGTGGCAGTACTTGGAAGTGAGGTACTCGCGTTGGCTGTTTTCTCGGTTGTGGCAGTACTTGGAAGTGAAGTACTCGCGCTGGCTGTTTTCTCGGTTGTGGTAGTAGCTGGAAATGAAGTACTCACGTTGGCTGGTTTCTCGGTTGTGGCAGCACTTGGAGGTGAAGTACACGCGTTGGCTGGTTTTTCAATTGTGGCAGTACTTGGAAGTGAAGTACTCGCGTTGGCTGTTTTCTCGGTCGTGGCAGTAGCTGGAAGTGATGTACTCACGTTGGCTCTCGCGTTGGCTGTTTCCTCGATTGTGGCAGTACTTGGAAGTGAGGTACTCGCGTTGGCTGTTTTCTCGGTTGTGGCAGTACTTGGAAGTGAAGTACTCGCGTTGGCTGTTTTCTCGGTTGTGGCAGTACTTGGAAGTGAAGTACTCGCGTTGGCTGTTTTCTCGGTTGTGGCAGTAGCTGGAAGTGATGTACTCACGTTGGCTCTCGCGTTGGCTGTTTCCTCGATTGTGGCAGTACTTGGAAGTGAGGTACTCGCGTTGGCTGTTTTCTCGGTTGTGGCAGTA